CGTTTGATTAATAACAAATTTAGTAATAAATTGTTTAATAACAAAGTTTAATAACAAATTTATTGTTCAATAACAAATTTAATAATAAATTGTTTGTTTAATAACAAAGCCGCGAGAACAGAGGAAAGCTGTACAAAGCTCCCGTAGGGAACACGTAACTACTTGATGAACGAAGTCCCGTTGCGAGAACATAAAATATTAACTCTATTACGTATAACTATCATCATCAAAGCGGTTTCTATCTGGCCAACTCGTGTTCCCTGTTTAAAACCATTTAAAACCATAAATTTGTTCGGGTTTAGAGACATGGGGCCAGATTCACGAAAGCACTTACGCAAACACTTACGAATCTGTACATCTTTTCTCAGTCTTTGGCGGCTTTGTTTCCAATTATTAAACAATTAATGAGCTCCGAAGCACCAGGAGGCTGTTTATAACAATAACAACAGTTGAATGGGAAGTTTTCATGCTTGTAAACTGTTTAATAAATGTAACCAAAGCCGTCAAAGATTGAGGAAAGATGTACACGTTCGTAAGTGCTTGCGTAAGTACTTTCGTGAATCTGGCCCAAGGTTGATTAGTAGTTAAGCTCCCCCAATGGCTGTCTGTCTGTCGCACACGTAAGATCTGCCATGATGAATTCCCAGAGTGTGTCCGTCCTACGGGACGGAATATCAACGTTATTACCAGAGCCGTGTACCTCTTCCCCCACGTAGCCGGGACCTGCACTCGGCCTGCAGATGAGCAGATAAGTCCGATTAAACTGGCGATTTGTAATAGCGGAGGTGATCGGTGATCGGGGGGATGTTGATTGGATGGCAAGTTCAAGTTGACGAAGGATAAGATCAAAAGAATGGGTAGTGTTGCAATCTCTTGCCAAACCGTTCAAGTCGACCAAATCGTCAACATGACAGGGATGGGGGGAGGGGGGGAGGGGGGGGGGTTCTAAATATTAAAAATGATGCAATGTTGATGTTTTCTTTGTGTCAGCCTCAGTTAGGTTAGGTTCAAACAGTTCTAAATGGGCTAAACAATTGAACGTTTATGGGAGTATTTAATGGGTAGAATTTTAACGAGGTGATTGTGGAGTTAATGGTGATCCATATGACCGGAAGTGATTGTTGTTGATGAAGCGTAGAAGCGTTTGTTAGTAATTGGGGTTGATGATAATGGTGGTGGTGGTGGATGTCCTGGTAGTGATCGAGATGGTGGTGGTTGTGGTAATGATGGTGGTGATAGGGGGGGAGATGACGGTGGTGGTGGTGGTAGTAATGGAGATATTGGTAGTGATGGTAGGAGATATTGGTAGGTGGTAGTAGTTTTTGGCTATGATGGTGGTAGTGGTTTATGGCGACGTTGGTGGTAGTGACGTTTGGCGAATGTGGTGGTAGAGGTGGTTGGAACAGGTGGTTGTGGTGGTGGTGATGGTGGTTGATGGTGCTTGTAGCTGTAGTGGCGATGGTGATAGTGTTGGCGACCGTTGCCTTAGGGGTAATAGAGGTGGTGGTGGTGGTGATAGTGGTAGTAGAGGTAGTGGTGGTAGTGACAGTGTGGTGTCAGTAACGGTGCTGGAGACCTAACTTTCCCAGTTTTTTACATCTCTGGGCGGCAGAGAATACCAATGTTGGGCGCAGCACCGCAGACATACACCTGCAAATTCCTATCACAATACCTGGCCATGTGTTAGGTGTTATGGGATGATATCTCGTTTTTTGGTCTGCTTGTTGCTCGTATTATCATGTCATCACACACACACACACACACGCACACGCGCACGAAAGAGATGGCTGGGTTGACTGCATCTATCTGGACCTAAAAAAGGCTTTCGACAGAGTTCCACATAAGAGGTTGTTCTGGAAACTGGAAAATATTGGAGGGGTGACAGGTAAGCTTCTATCATGGATGAAAAATTTTCTGACTGATAGAAAAATGAGGGCAGTAATCAGAGGCAATGTATCGGAATGGAGAAATGTCACAAGTGGAGTACCACAGGGTTCAGTTCTTGCACCAGTGATGTTTATTGTGTACATAAATGATCTACCAGTTGGTATACAGAATTATATGAACATGTTTGCTGATGATGCTAAGATAATAGGAAGGATAAGAAATTTAGATGATTGTCATGCCCTTCAAGAAGACCTGGACAAAATAAGTATATGGAGCACCACTTGGCAAATGGAATTTAATGTTAATAAATGTCATGTTATGGAATGTGGAATAGGAGAACATAGACCCCACACAACCTATATATTATGTGAGAAATCTTTAAAGAATTCTGATAAAGAAAGAGATCTAGGAGTGGTTCTAGATAGAAAACTATCACCTGAGGACCACATTAAGAATATTGTGCAAGGAGCCTATGCAATGCTTTCTAACTTCAGAATTGCATTTAAATACATGGATGGCGATATACTAAAGAAATTGTTCATGACTTTTGTTAGGCCAAAGCTAGAATATGCAGCTGTTGTGTGGTGCCCATATCTTAAGAAGCACATCAACAAACTGGAAAAGGTGCAAAGACATGCTACTAAGTGGCTCCCAGAACTGAAGGGCAAGAGCTACGAGGAGAGGTTAGAAGCATTAAATATGCCAAAACTAGAAGACAGAAGAAAAAGAGGTGATATGATCACTACGTACAAAATAGTAACAGGAATTGATAAAATCGACAGGGAAGACTTCCTGAGACCTGGAACTTCAAGAACAAGAGGCCATAGATTTAAACTAGCTAAACACAGATGCCGAAGAAATATAAGAAAATTCACCTTCGCAAATAGAGACTTGTGGGGGGCTTCGCGGCTGAAGGATAGCGCTCGGGGGTGTCGTAGTTCTAATGGCCCGGGTTCGATTTCCGGCAGAGGCAGAAGCAAATGGGCACAGTTTCTTTCACCCTGATGCCCATTGTTCACTTAGTAGTAAATTGGTACCTAGGAGTTAGACAACTGCTTCTTGGGGATGTGTGTGTGTGTACTCACCTAGTTATACTCACCTAGTTGAGTTTGCGGGGGTTGAGCTCTGGCTCTTTGGTCCCACCTCTCAACCGTCAAATCAAATGTGTGTGTGTGTGTGTGTGTGTGTGTGTGTGTGTGTTAGATTGGTTAGAAAGGCGGGGTCTAAGACCTTATAACTCGATTCTGCAGACACAAATAGTAAATACATACACACACGCCATCGTTAATACATACATGTGATCGGAACTTAGGAGCTGGAGCATCCCCTGCCAATTGCACACATAAGCGAGTACATACACACTTTCTTTATCTCGACAACAAGCATGTTTCTTAAATGTCCTTCCCGTAGCACAGCGCAGTATTTTCCCCCGGACTAAACAGCAGGTGTGTAGGTCCATATGTGCGCCTGAGCCTCAGGTTATGGGCACATGTGTACCATGGGCGACCGTACGTGTGTGTGAAGGGGGTGTCTCGCAGCATGTGTAGTCGAGGGAAGCATAATTTATTTTTGAGCATAAGCATAATTTTATTTTTTATAATAAATTTAAAGACAATTTATTTGCCTGGCAATGTGGTTACAAGTGTTGCTTGAATTGATTAATGTCAATTGGCATTATGTTCTGAAATAGTTTTCAGAAGCATATCACAAGCGCTTAAACTCGCCCCCCTCCCTCCCCAATTCCCGCCACTTAGACTGCTCGGTACAGCGACGTTCTTGCTTCTCTCAGGGTCGGCGTTCGATTTCCGATGGACAGACACAGTTCCTGCAAGTCCATCCTCACGTGACAGCTATACACCTTGCTATACACCTGGTCATTGTAGCCAGATTGTAAACAAAATGTGGATAAAGTTGTCTACGAATAAAGTTTCTGACTAATCTGTCTTCGAGTCCCAGTTGTACCTCTCATTTTGTTCTCACATCCCAGCTGTGAGTCAAATTCAAATTCAAATTAGTTTATTGAAGTATAAATTACACACAAAGGAATGAGGTAGCTCAAGCTATTCTCACCGCGTTTGCTGTAAGTTTGTCTTCATATCTGTTAATATCTTTTAATATGTCTAGTTGTGTCTTCATAACTATTACTGAAGACCCAAAAAGTCTTAATCCATCTCAAGTGGGTGTTGTCTGATAATGCTAAACGCAGCTTCCATGTATGAGAATGTAATATTGCACATTGAAGCCAAGTTATTTAGGGGTAATACTTTACATAAGTAAACACTAGGTACAGCAGGTAGTATAATTATTGCAGTTTACATATGGAGTGGCACACCTGGTTCTGGGTTTACTCAACATGACATGTAGTTTTCCTACACAAGTCATATTCCCTTTATCTACTAAAAGGAAAAATGTAGATACAATGATCATTCAATGATCAAGAGTGGATACAATGATCATCAGGAGATTTCATACAAATTGCTCAATCTGCACATGGCTGCAGAGTTTCTTTCACCCTATGCCCCTGTTACCTAGCAGTAAAATAGGTACCTGGGAGTTAGTCAGCTGTCACGGGCTGCTTCCTGGGAGTGGATGCCTGGTCGAAGACCGGGCCGCAGGGACACTAAAAGCCCCGAAATCATCTCAAGATAACCTCAAGATGGTCACTGTTATGTATGTATCTCTCACTCCGCATAACTCACAAGCGACTTTGGCCGTGTTAAAGTCTTGGGCAAGAAAGAAAAACTGGGTATCGATACTTATCGATCTTATTGACTCAGCATTAATTTAGTATCTTGTTTTCGACCAATTAACGGATCGCATTCCAATTAAAATCAGTAAAAATAAAGCTTAACATGAGCTATTGGAAGAGAGGGTTCTAAACCTGGTAGCAAGAGATGAGTCACAATAACGTGGCTAAAGTATGTTGACCAGACGACGACGTTTCGGTCCAGGACAGACCGAAACGTCGTCGTCCCTTCACCTTCTAGTGTGTGGTCTGGTCAACCTGCTAGCAAGAGTCTGACATTAATCTGCTTCTGGACCATCACATTTAATGAAAAAATAAATAATAATGTAGATTAAATTAAGGTTGTGTGTGTGTGTGTGTGCTGCAGGTAAGGTGTCAGCAGTGCTGGGGGCCCTGGACGGAGTGATGCCCATGGTCAGTTTCTCCCTCTACACCGCCGTCTACCACTCCACGGTCCACATCTTCCCCGGGGCACAGTTCTTCTTCGGCACCTCGGCTAACCTCCTCATGGTCCTCTTGTTCATGTAAGTATTCTGGAAGGGGCGGACTCGCGGACCACATGCTGGTCTACTGACGAGATCTGCGTCTATTATTTGGTTCATGACGGGCCCAGTCGGTTTTCAGAGCTACAGAGATATATGAGGTTATTATCAGTTGTCAGAGCTTTTATCATTGGTTTTCAGAGCTACAGAGATATATGAGGTTATTATCGATTTTCAGAGTATATGAGGTTATTATCGGTTTTCAGAGCTTTTATCATTGGTTTTCAGAGCTACAGAGATATATGAGGTTATTATCGGTTTTCAGAGCTTTTATCATTGGTTTTCAGAGCTACAGAGATATATGAGGTTATTATCGGTTTTCAGAGCTTTTATTATCGATTTTCGGAGGTTATTATTATTGAGGACTTCTTTGTAGGACTAAGAAGCTTGTAAATTATTTTAATAAATACAGATTAAGTTGCTGTGATTGAGATAAGCAGTTCATATCTTTTAAGCAAATACCCAAGAACTCTGTAAACATGGCCTAACTCCATTGCCAGCGCTAGTTAGCCTACAGGAACTCCACTATCCATTATGTAATGATAAATTGATTCAGCTCAATGAAAATTCTAAGCAAACGAAGACGAAGTAACTGAATCTAACCTAAAAATACTTTTCATAACCTGTTATTCCTTATCCCTTGACTTAAGCAAATAATAGGAGACTTATATATATATATAAGGAGGCTTATATGAATATAAGAGAGTTAAGTTAACCACCTCTTGGCATGTATTCCCCCCAGTGTGGTGATTCTGGCGGATCGAGGAGCCTCCTATGCCGTGGAGACAGCCCAACCGCCTCAGCCACCGGGTCCGGTGACGGAGAAGAGCCTGGTCACCCGAAAGGACTCACGCTGGCTCTTCGACGAAGAGAGTAATGGCAAGATCCGCCTGGCGACGATTCTCCTCTCCTCCATGAACTTCAGCATCGAGGTGCCCATGATTGAGTACATGTACGGCCGGCCCCTCGAGACCATCCCAGAGGAGAGCGAGACGGAGGAGATAGAGGAGATTGAGGTGGAGAAGGCCAACAGCTCCTCTTTTGAGAATAACGCCTATGTTAACGATAAGGATGATGTCCAGATTCACTCCTATGTAAATAATTGTAAACCTTGTAATTAGAATCGTCACAATCTAATGTAATTATCGTTGTATATTATGTAAACAAAGGAAATTGATACTATTCAATACAAATTTTATTTGATAGTAGAGCAAGCGATCTAACCTTATTATATGAGGTTGTATGAACACTGCTGTGTATGATTAAGGCCATCCATAGGTTAACCAAATTGTGTGCACCACAGTGGTGTTTGGAGCACCAACCATGACATTACCGAATCATGCTCTCTGGCAGCTTGACAAGCCACTGGCTATGATCATATTAATTGTATATATATATATATTTTTACCATTAAGGTGTACTTTAAGTGCCATGTTCTTTTCATTTGTTTATTTCCCCTTGACAAGAAAATACTTGCCCAAGTTCATCCCAGACAGAGTCACGTGTTTTTTGCATACGGGTCACTCGGCTTGTGCTGCCATCTCTTGGAGGAGGATAGAGTTGTTTTACAGTTTGCTGACTGTGATGAACTGGGGTTGGGTTATTGTCGGGGTCTGGCGACGGCTGCTCTCTGGTTATGATACTCAGCCACCTGCTCACTCCTGGGCCTACCTGCACTCTTGGGCCTACCTGCACTCTTGGGCCTACCTGCACTCTTGGTCCTACCTGCACTCTTGGGCCTATCTGCACTCTTGGGCCTACCAGCACTCCTGGGCCTACCTGCACTCTTGGTTCTACCAGCACTCCTGGTCCTACAAGCACTCCTGGTCCTACCAGCACTCTTGGTCCTACCTGAACGTTTTCCTCACCAACATTCTGTACATACGTTCACTGTCTGGGTTCCCTTCTACGGAACAATTTTAAATAGAATTCCTCATGTAAGTTTCAGCATATAACTACATTTACTCTACATTTTTCACAATTATTTCAGTGCTTCTGGGGAGTTGTCCGAGACCATTAAAGCCAAAAATAACCTGAATATTACAATTTCACGAGAATTTTATGGGATCTTTGAGCGCCATTTAAAAGTTCATAATGTGCTTCAGTCAGTGCCTGCTTCTTGAGGCAGGGGGCGCCACAACATTAATGCATTCTATAAGACTGGTCTGCCCATAGGTGATGTAAAGGGTTCTGAATGCTCCTGAAAGCTGTTCTGATGATTTAAGTGTAATGCCGCTGATATTATCATATCTATGTGTTCCACTGGGGGTAAGGCATGGTGTCTGTTATACCCCAAGTTTTTTTCTCGAGTTGTTTCAGGGAGGTGAGTCCCTTTCATTACGTAAAGTCCTGTTGGTCTTCTGTTCCCTGTATGACCTACTTGAATTCTAGTAACTAAGTCTCGAACCAACTCTGCCAGTTGTCTATGTCTTCTGGGTAAATACTGGGTCGGTAACAGGGTTGTTGATTTGTGGAACCAATTACCGCGTAACGTGGTGGAGGTGGGGTCCCTCGATTGTTTCAAGCACGGGCTGGACAAGTATATGAGAGGGATTGGGTGGTTATAGATAGTAGCTGCCTCGTATGGGCCAATAGGCCTTCTGCAGTTACCTTTGTTCTTATGTTCTTATGTTCTTAAATATTTTTCAATCTTCTTGTGTGCCGACTCTTTTCATTTATTTGGCATCAGCCCAAAAAACATTGACACGTAGGACTCTGCTTCTGTGGCAAGGTCATGGTCATCGATGAGAAATAATATAGGAAGTATAAGACCGATCCTTGGTAAGTTCAGGCTTGGTATGCTGTGTCAATCTTGCTCTCTCACCCATTTTTCTCCTTCCTCCTCTTCCATTTGAGACTCTGCTTCCTGTCTGTTAGGTACTCTTATCCGATTTAGACATCTTCCTTATAATTGTACCTGGTTCCACACCTTCACGTTTATGTAGTTGTCTCTCATGAAGAACTGTCTCAAACGCTTTTTGACTGTCTGGTAAAAATGTAGCCTGCGCATCTATCTTCAACCTATCTTTCCATCGTCAATTTGTCACTGAGCTCTATTTGGTTGACAAGGTACAATTACCTTTCCCTACAGCTGCATTAGAGATGTTTTATAAATGTAATTATAATTAGATGTTGTGTTAGTCTTATGCTTATTATTCTTTCATGTACTTTGCAGGGGATGTTTGTCTGTGACTCTGGTCTGAGGGTTTGTGCCTCCTTCCTCTCTCATGTTTTGTAGACTGGCATCATTTTTGTGTTCAGTTGCGTGCGTGTGTGTGTGTGTGTGTGTGTGTGTGTATGTGTGTGTGTGTGTGTGTGTGTGTGTGTGTGTGTGTGTGTGTGTGTGTGTGTGTGTGTGTGTGAATATTTCAGTTAAAAAATAACAATTACCTCAGCCTCTTGTTTGATGGATCACCTCTTAAACACCTGTGACAGGTAAAAACATGCTTCTTTTGAAAAACAACGCCATCTATTGTACATAGGAGCAACACACACACGCACGGCTTGACAAACAAAGGCAACAGTTATCATTGATGGCTGCCTTCCACCGGACAATATAAGGCCCAAATAGGTGTATGAAATAGCCTTCTGAGTGACCATTAAAATAATCCAGTCGGTAGCATCATTTGCCCTTTGCTGATAGTAATAATGGAGCAGAAAATCAAACAATGGAGATGTGACATGGAATGTAGAACTAACTGACGCTGATAAAAAGTAATTTCATAACATATGAAAGAGGAAATAATGCAGAAATAAAGTGACCCCCTAAAATGGACTTAGTATGCTATCAGAATGAGGTTTTTAAATTGATGGAACAGAACAGAAGCTCTCCCTCTTGTTGTTGTTAAAGATTCGCTACCTGGAACAAAGTTCCAAGTAGCACGGGCTATGGTGAGCCCGCAGTGCCTTCAGCTCTCGCTCAGGCAATAGTTACGACCGTGTCCTTGTCTCAGATTACACAAGTCCGAAAATTCAAAGTAACAGGGCATGAGAGGGATGAGAACCAGTTGGCATACCAAGAACGAGACTAAATAAGAATCGACGAATTCGTGAGATTATGTCATTGTACCGAGTGTGCTGAATTACCTCACTCCTTGATCAAGAATATATACAAATAAATACTTTACCTCCATGACCGAGAAACAAGTGTTGTACAAACACGACTCTTGGTTCAAGGGGCATCCTGGGTGTAGACAGTAAGGCAGCCTGGTACACCAGACAGCTTGGGTGTAGACAGTAAGGCAGCCTGAGACACCAGACAGCCTAAGTGTAGACAGTAAGGCAGGCCTGGTACACCAGACAGCCAGGGTGTAGACAGTAAGGCAGCCTGGTACACCAGACAGCCTGGGTGTAGACAGTAAGGCAGCCCTGGTACACCAGACAGCCTGGGTGTAGACAGTAAGGCAGCCTGGTACACCAGACAGCCTGGGTGTAGACAGTAAGGCAGCCTGGTACACCAGACAGCCTGGGTGTAGACAGTAAGGCAGCCCTGGTACACCAGACAGCCTGGGTGTAGACAGTAAGGCAGCCCTGGTACACCAGACAGCCTGGGTGTAGACAGTAAGGCAGCCCTGGTACACCAGACAGCCTGGGTGTAGACAGTAAGGCAGCCCTGGTACACCAGACAGCCAGGGTGTAGACAGTAAGGCAGCTTGAGACACCAGACAGCCTAAGTGTAGACAGTAAGGCAGCCTGGTACACCAGACAGCCTGGGTGTAGACAGTAAGGCAGCCTGGTACACCAGACAGCCAGGGTGTAGACAGTAAGGCAGCCTGGTACACCAGACAGCCTGGGTGTAGACAGTAAGGCAGCCTGGTACACCAGACAGCCTGGGTGTAGACAGTAAGGCAGCCCTGGTACAACAGACAGCTTGAGTGTAGACAGTAAGGTAGCCCTGGTACACCAGACAGCTTGGGTGTAGACAGTAAGGTAGCTCTGGTACACCAGACAGCCTGGGTGTAGACAGTAAGGTAGCCCTGGTACACCAGACAGCCTGGGTGTAGCCAGTAAGGCAGCCCTGGTACACCAGACAGCCAGGGTGTAGACAGTAAGGCAGCCTGAGACACCAGACAGCCTAAGTGTAGACAGTAAGGCAGCCTGGTACACCAGACAGCCTGGGTGTAGACAGTAAGGCAGCCTGGTACACCAGACAGACAGGGTGTAAACAGTAAGGCAGCCTGGTACACCAGACAGCCTGGGTGTAGACAGTAAGGCAGCCCTGGTACACCAGACAGCCTAAGTGTAGACAGTAAGGCAGCCTGATACACCAGACAGCTTGGGTGTAGACAGTAAGGCAGCCTGGTACACCAGACAGCCTGGGTGTAGACAGTAAGGCAGCCCTGGTACACCAGACAGCCTAAGTGTAGACAGTAAGGCAGCCTGATACACCAGACAGCTTGGGTGTAGACAGTAAGGCAGCCTGGTACACCAGACAGCCTGGGTGTAGACAGTAAGGCAGCCCTGGTACACCAGACAGCCTAAGTGTAGACAGTAAGGCAGCCTGATACACCAGACAGCTTGGGTGTAGACAGTAAGGCAGCCTGGTACACCAGACAGCTTGGGTGTAGACAGTAAGGCAGCCTGGTACACCAGACAGCTTGGGTGTAGACAGTAAGGCAGCCTGGTACACCAGACAGCCTGGGTGTAAACAATGAGGCAGCCTGGTACACCAGACAGCCAGGGTGTAGACAGTAAGGCAGCCTGATACACCAGACAGCCTAAGTGTAAACAATGAGGCAGGTAGTATTGGTCTTACATACGTTAGTCTTTATTGTATAGTACAAGTCTTCTTATTTATGTGATAGTGCTATTGTATAATAGTCTTACATTGCTCCTGTATTTTCTATTGTCCCTTGTATGATAGTCTTTTGTACTGCCCCTTGTATAATACTCTTGTGATAGTCGTAATACTCTCGTGATACTCATTTGTATAATAGTCTTGTGATACTTGTATAATAGTTTTGTGATACTCACTTGTATAATAGCCTTATGATACTGCCATTGTAAAATAGCCTTTGATATTGCAATTGTATAATAGCTTTCACGTTTGTTGTAGTTTGAGTGTATAGATTAGTGTGTGTGTGTGAGACACCATATGTGATCACGTCCACAAACAATGCAGTCTGTATAATAGATAATGTATAATGTAGTCCATGATGTAATTTAGTATTTGCATTATATCGTCCATGTACAATAACCTGTAAATAGTTTATAATGACGAAGCCAATGTATAATTGTCCCCCCTGTATATTAGACCATGTTAAAAATTGAGTTTATGTATAATATAGTCTATGTAGAATATAGTTTATGTATAATACAATCTGTATATATTGTGCCCATACACGCTTCTTGTATTTAACGAATATATTGACATCACTAATAAATTTGGACAATATATGTGAATTACGATCTGTTGTAGTGTTGTAGTGTTATTACCTTTGTTATCAAACCTCCGTGCCAAGCTATAATTTTAAGTCAAATAGTGACTTATGTCGATTTAAATAAGCCAGTATTTGACTTTGACCGAAGACAGCCAGCTGACAGGATGATTCTTTCATTATGTATAATAATAAAAGGATCTTCTTGAATATACATTATTATTATATATTGTGGGTTTATACAATGTTAGGCTTTGGTAAGGCTTGATAAGTATAATTTTGGTTTCGTTCTGAGGCTATCTATGGTTATTCCATCCAGCAGCCGAAGTATTCATCAATTTTAACATGCTGTTCATTGAACAAATCCACACGGGCCGTGACGAGGATTTGTTCATTTGATGCATCACGTTAGTGTGATTTCTGTGTGTAATGCTGTTTATTCATAACAGTAATTTTTTAAATATTAATTAGTGTTATGTATTGGCCTTATTGTGCATATTTAGGCATAAGTTAGGTGTTAAGGTTCTGTTTGGGCTTATTCGTGGAACATGTACCTTTCGAGTCATGGGTTCGAGCATGGTCCAGCTATTCCTTGTAAACATTGCTCGAAAAGGTTGTTAAACAGGCAATCGCTCCCTATTTATGAATGATAAAACACTTTACACATGAGTCAACTGATTACGTTTGAACCTTTTTCTTTTTATTTGAAGTGTTCCACTCTCTTCATGGGTTAGAGTCGCTCCTGTCTAAATTCTTTACCCGCGTACTACAAATACATATAACTGCCAGCAGACCCAAAATATTTATCTTAAAATATCCTAGGCTTAACACACGTAAAATTATATTATGCAATAATATTTATTTATATATGAAAATATATCGTTATTGGATACACAATGGACTGTTATATTTTATAAATGAGTCTTTGGGGCTTGGCCTCAGGTTGAACGAGCATAGCCAAAGGATGGGTTGTATTTGTAATACACAATACGTTAAAATGGATGAGTGCATCTTGGGGGGGACTCCCGCTGCTTTAACGAGCTTGGCCTGAAGACTGATTGAAATAATTGCCAACAGAATCTGAACAACCTAACCTAACAACGGCCTAACTATACACACAATTTTGAAACATAATGTGACAAATTTATGACATAATACCGATTTCTGAATACAATTTACCAATAGCACAAATACTCTGTACAATCCTATAATGCAAAGGAAATTTGAACCAAAGTTCATGTACAGGGCTAACAATTAGGCACTTATTGTTAGACATAAAAGACAGTAATTTTAACTACAATAAGGCATAAAGGCATTAACTAAGTAACTACAATAAGGCATAAAAGTCAGAAAATTACTTTTATGAAGAAAAACGGCTTCAGTCTTCTTTAAAAAATCCTACTCAGCATGAAGCCAATTATGGTGATCCCTGTCTCGGCTTCACAATTCTCCAGAAAAATTGCGTGCAGCGCCTCGCTAATGCTGACTATTTGCGGCGGTCGCAGCGCCTCGCTGATGACAATAATAAACAATATCAATAATAGACAAACTAGGAGCAAATAAACCAAGACCTCACAGAAATATGCTGGGGAGAATAACTTGAAAATGCAAACGTGAACCAGTGCCTGGAAAAAATAAGCTCAGTAGCACTAGAAATATGATCAAACTGCATATCCCTAAGAAAAAAGCAGAAGAGATGCAGATTGGAACGAGAACGTCGTTCCCCAACCCGTCCTCTTAAAAATAACGTCACTTTTGGCTGGTATGCGCACTATGCCCAAATTTGGACGTAATTTGAAATGAAATCGACTCACAAAAGTGACGTACTGTTCCGTTTTCTGTTTGAGTCGTCCGGCTCTCCTCGGACAGCTTAGAAGAGGAACTTTCAATTAACGTTTTTCATAACGTTTTGAAACTTTATGAGAATTTCCTGCCCACCTAACCTATCAGAGGACCCTTAACTTACTGTTGTTGAAGAAAAAAATCCCAAATTTATTTCCAATTTATTTTCATTTTTAAATTACGTCCATATTCGGCCGTACGGGCAAACGGCCAAAAGCGACGTTTTTTTTAAGAGGACAGGTTGTCAACCCGTCCTCTTAAAAATAACGTCACTTTTGGCTGGTATGCGCACTATGCCCAAATTTGGACGTAATTTGAAATGAAATCGACTCACAAAAGTGACGTACTGTTCCGTTTTCTGTTTGAGTCGTCCGGCTCTCCTCGGACAGCTTAGAAGAGGAACTTTCAATTAACGTTTTTCATAACGTTTTGAAACTTTATGAGAATTTCCTGCCCACCTAACCTATCAGAGGACCCTTAACTTACTGTTGTTGAAGAAAAAAATCCCAAATTTATTTCCAATTTATTTATTTCGCCCTCTATAGGCGAAGAAAACGAATCACGGAACAACTTGAGAGTCGCACCCTATCTTAAGAACGACTAAGAAGGCTAGGTAGAGAAATAAAAACGATTGAACTAAAGCTACAAGAATCATTCGAAACCCAGGAGAGGTAAAGAGACCAAAAGGCGCTAGGTGAAATAGAGAGAAATCTGAAATATTTTTTCTCCTATGCAAAATCAAGATAAAAAAATCACATCTAGTATCGAGCCCCGGCGAAAGGGAGATAGAACGTTCACAAATGACAATAAAGAAATGTGAGAAATACTGAGGTATCAGTATGACTGTTTTCAGCGAGCCACTAAACACACTGAAGATTGATAATCCAAATGAATTCTTCATGAATGTGATGCCAACATCAAATCATATATTAGATGTCACCCGATCTATAATGGATTTTGAAGAAGCCATAGACAGTATGCCGCTGCACTCTACACCAGGCCATGATTCTTGGAACTCTATATTCATCAGGAACTGCAAAAAAAAAACATTATCGCAGGCCTTTCACATTCTTTGAAGACAGAGCCTAAATACTGGCGCTATCCCTGACATAATAAAAACAGCGGAGATAGCACCACTCCATAATGGAGGAAATAAGGCAGAGGCAAAAAATTACAGACCGATTGCACTAACCTCACATATCATAAAACTCTCTGAAAGAGTGCTAAGACGTAAGATCACATAATATATGGAATCACAGCAGCTCCATAACCCTTGGACAGCATGGTTTTAGAACAAGGTGTTCTTGCCTATCACAGTTGCTGGACCACTATGACATGGCATTAGATGCCATGGAAGACAAACAAAACGCTGACATAATCTACACAGCTTTCGCAAATATGATTATGGTGTTATTGCATACAAAATGGATTCAAAAGGAATTACCGTAAAAATGAGCAGACGGATCTACAATTTTCTGACTAACAGAACCCAATGTGTCAACAAAATAAAATCTGATCCATCAACCGTGAAGAGCTCAGTCCCCCAGGGAACTGTGTTTGCTCCATCACTTTTTCTCATCCTCATATCGGACATAGACAAGGACACAACCTATAGTATTGTATCATCCTTTGCAGATGACACTAGGATTTTTATGAGAGTAGACAACATAGAGGACACGGCAAACCTCCAATCAGATGTAAATCAGGTCTTTCTATGTTCTACAGAAAATAATATGGTGTTTACCGAAGATAAGATCTTGCGCTATGGAAAAAAATTAAAATATAAAAACGGAAACCACGTACAAAATGCAGTCAAAACATAACATAGAACGAAAAGGCAATGTAAAGGATTTGGGTGTACTCATCTTGGAAGACCTTACCTTTAAAGAACACAATAAAGTAGCCGATACATCGGCAAGAAAAATGAACAGTTGGATACCAAGAATCTTTCACACTAGAGATGCTAAACCAATCATGATACCTTTCAGGACGCTAGTGCTCTCTAGAGTGGAATACTGTTGCACAATGACAGCCCCTTTCAAAGCTGGAGAAATTGCTGACCTGGAGAGCGTGCAGAGATCCTTTACTACTAGAATCCACTCAGTAAAACATCTAAACTACTGGAACCGACTAAAATGCCTAAATCTGTATTCTCTAGAGCGCAGGCGGGAGAGATACATAATAATTTACACGTGGAAAATAGTAGAGGGACTGGTCCCAAACCTACACACAGAAATAACATCACATGAGACCAGAAGGCATGGCAGGATGTGCAGAATACCAATGTTGAAAAAGCAGAGGTGCAACAGGTACTCTGAGAGAGAACTCTTATCAACTAATGTTGATAAGAGTTCTCTCTTATCCGAGGCCCGAGACTATTCAACACGCTTCCACTACACATAAGGGGCATAACTGGCCGACCCCTCACAGTGTTCAAGAGAGAACTTGACAAACTCCTCTAAAGGATAAATGATCACCTAGGCTGTGACTCATACGTCAAACTCCGAGCAGCCGCGTCCAACAGCCTGGTTGACCAGTCCAGCAACGAGGAGGCCTGGTCTACGACCGGACCGCGGGGACGCTAAGCCCCGAAATCATCACAAAGTAACCTCAAGGTAACGTTAACATCAATTACACTCTCTTTTTTATCATTGATATTATACGTGGCCAATATTTCAACCCGTTCTCCTGAATAGTACATCTCATTTTGATGTATAATTTCCCTACGGCCAAAAATTGATGTACTAAAAGTGGTAGCGGCTCGTGAAACTGAAGTGATGCCCCATTTTTTGTTCGTGGGTCATAGGATAGGTTAGGTTCGAGCAATTTAGCACAACAGTTTAGTGACGTTAAGAACCTTCGATTGATAAGGATTAAGCCATCCAAGAGGTGGCACGGGCATGAATAGCCCGTAATAAGAACCTTTGGGAGAATGGGCTGAATATCTTCCACCTGTTCTCCAATTTCGTTTTTTTTTTGAGAGAGAGAGAGAGATTTTATAATTATTTGCGTACAATATTGTTGTATTTACCTTTTAACCTTGAAAGCTACAAGAGTTCGGAACTGAAAATTCTATCTCTATTATTTCTGCATCCTAAGAGGAGGGTTTTCCTACCCGGAGGAAGAAAGTGAGGGAACGTTTCCCCTAGTCATCCCTCCCTGCCATCTGTCATCTGCCCAGGGGCCAGATTCACGAAGCAGTTACGCAAGTACTTACGAACGTGTACATCTTTCCTCAATCTTTGACGTCTTTGGTTACATTTATTAAACAGTTTACAAGTATGAAAACTTCCCATCAACTGTTGTTATTGTTATAAACAGCCTCCTGGTGCTTCGGAGCTCATTAACTCTTCAATAATTGTAAACAAAGCCGCCAAAAATTGAGAAAAGATGTGCAGGATCGTAAGTGCGTGCGTAACTGCTTCGTGAATCTGGCCCCTGGGAGTCTAACCTGGGAACGCTTGCATACGAAGGGATGAAAGTGTATGTTACTCTGCACCCCAAACTCCTTAAAATAATTCTTATATTATTAACATAGACGCATATGCATTTATGCGGCTATCATAAGCTGTATGAAGAGGTAAGCTGTAAGTTCGAGTCCCAGCCGAGGCAGAAACAAATGGGCAGAGTTTCTTTCACCCTGACGTTCACCTAGCAGTAAATAGGTACCTGGGAGTTAGACAGCTGTTACGGGCGGCTTCCTGGGGGGTGTGAGTGTGTGCGTTAGAGAGAAAAATCAGTTTCAGTTTGAAATGCAAACTTCAAATTTGAAAATGCAGCATCGTTTCGAAAGATTCTCTGGATAGCCGAAGATTGACTAACATCAATCAATGGGCTGTCGGTATGACGTCTCAGTTATACCTGAGACGGTATGAGTCTCAGCCTGGTTGATCATTTATCCTTTGGAGGAGTTTGTCAAGTTTTCTCTTGAACACTGTGAGGAGTCGGCCAGTTATGCCCCTTATGTGCAGTGGAAGCGTGTTGAACAGTCTTGGGCCTCTGGTGTTCATAAGAGTTCTCTCTCAGGGTACAAGTAAGCCTTGTCTCACAGCAGCCTGTCCTCCTGATTTGCCACAACGTACAAAGTACAGAGGACTAAATCAACTAGAAACGCACGAACCCAAGTAACCCACCAAACCTATTAACCTCCCGACGAATACAGACAGACGCATTTAACCAGGTAACATACAGTGGCCAACTATTTATAGGTTACTCCTTCAGATCACGAGAGAGAAGGTGAATTGCAAACTTGGAGGTACGTCATACCGACATCAAAGGGTTCTAATTTAAAATACACAGTTACTCGCAGTGAGTAGGATTCGAACCTACGCGGGAAGATCCCATCTGATTTCTAGTCAGACGCCTTAACCACTCGGCCATCACTGCATAGTATGTAGGGAGAAAATGTAATTATTTAATTAAATTGTTGAGCTTTTGTTTAATTCGGAGTCGGGGATGAGGGGGGGGAGGATAAGGGAGGGAGGGAGGGAACTATCAGGAGAAAGCGCCAGACCATTAGGGGAAGGGGCGGAGGAGAGAGAGAGGCTGCTGCTGGGGTGTGACGTGGGACACTGGGGGAGGCTGGGGTGTGACGTGGGACACTGGGGGAGGCTGGGGTGTGACGTGGGACACTGGGGAAGGCTGGGGTGTGACGTGGGACACTTGGGGAGGCTGGGGTGTGATGTGGGACACTGAGGGAGGCTGGGGTGTGACGTGGGACACTGGGGGAGGCTGGGGTGTGACGTGGGACACTGAGGGAGGCTGGGGTGTGACGTGGGACACTGGGGGAGGCTGGGGTGTGACGTGGGACACTGGGGGAGGCTGGGGTGTGACGTGGGACACTGGGGGAGGCTGGGGTGTGACGTGGGACACTGGGGGAGGCTGGGGTGTGACGTGGGACACTGGGGGAAGCTGAGGTGTGACGTGGGAGGCTGGGGTGTGACGTGGGACATTGGGAAAGGCTGGGGTGTGACGTGGGACACTGGGGGAGGCTAAGGTGTGACGTGGGACACTGGGGAAGGCTGGGGTGTGACGTGGGACACTGGGGGAGGCTGGGGTGTGACGTGGGACACTGGGGGAGGCTGGGGTGTGAGGTAGGACACTGGGGAAGGCTGGGGTGTGACGTGGGACACTGGGGGAGGCAGGGGTGTGACGTGGGACACTGGGGGAGGCTGGGGTGTGACGTGGGACACTGGGGAAGGCTGGGGTGTGACGTGGGACAGTGGGGGAGGCTGGGGTGTGACGTGGGACACTGGGGGAGGCTGGGGTGTGACGTGGGACACTGGGGAAGGCTGGGGTGTGACGTGGGACACTGGGGGAGGCTGGGGTGTGACGTGGGACACTGGGGGAGGCTGGGGTGTGACGTGGGACACTGGGGGAGGCTGGGGTGTGACGTGGGACACTGGGGGAGGCTGGGGTGTGACGTGGGACACTGGGGGAGGCTGGGGTGTGACGTAGGACACTGGGGGAGGCTGGGGTGTGACGTGGGACACTGGGGGAGGCTGGGGTGTGACGTGGGACACTGGGGGAGGCTGGGGTGTGACGTGGGACACTGGGGGAGGCTGGGGTGTGACGTGGGACACTGGGGGAGGCTGGGGTGTGACGTGGGACACTGGGGGAGGCTGGGGTGTGACGTGGGACATTGGGGGAGGCTGGGGTGTGACGTGGGAGGCTGGGGTGTGACGTGGGAGGCTGGGGTGTGACGTGGGACACTGGGGTGTGACGTGGGACATTGGGGTGTGACGTGGGACACTGGGGGAGGCTGGGGTGTGACGTGGGACATTGGGGTGTGACGTGGGACACTGGGGGAGGCTGGGGTGTGACGTGGGACACTGGGGGAGGCTGGGGTGTGACGTGGGACACTGGGGTGTGACGTGGGACACTGGGGAAGGCTGGGGTGTGACGTGGGACACTGGGGTGTGACGTGGGAGGCTGGGGTGTGACGTGGGACACTGGGGTGTGACGTGGGACTGTGGGATAGGCTGGGACTACAGTATCCGGATCCATCAAAGGAGCCGGTCAGCGCAAAAAATAGAACATCAGCTGTTATTCAGACCATATATCCGCGGGTGCTTCATGTGAATGAGAAGTTACCCCTTGGGGCGTGACCGTGGCTCACCTGCCTGCTGGACCCGGGGTACGAACCCCCCCCCCCCCCCCTCCCTAATATAAATGCTGTGGACGATGGAATTCATAAAACTTCACAGCGCTTTTTCTGTGTATCTTTTTTCTGTGTGTGTGTGTGTGCATGTCGTTGGTAATTGTTGATGCAGTGCCTCACGCAGCCCCGTGTGTGTATGTGGGAATGGATCTCTAGCATGTATTAACGACTTGGGTGAGCTCTGTCTCTCTCTCTCCAGCTCTATGGATCTCTAGCATGTATTAACGACTTGGGTGAGCTCTCTCTCTCTCTAGCTCTATTCCATCCTCTATTCTTTCCATCCTGCGTTCTGTAATCCATTCTTTTTCGTTCGACTTCGGTTTTTTTCCCTTCCATTCTGTTCCTTCCGACCGCCTCACTCCATCACTCACGATGAGTTTGGGAACTGCATCTCGCATGGGGGGCACCTGGCCTCCAGGCGGTTTAATTTATTCCTCACTCTCCACTCCCTCTTGCAGCGTATAACATCCACTCTACTGCACCCTTCCATTTACTGCTCGATTTTACACCCGACATCAACTACCTTCCACCCTTCCCCGTGAAATTTTCTTTTCCTTACCCTGAATTCAGGGTAGGTAAAATTTCCGTCCCTGAATGAGTCACTTGAGATTTCTAAATGTAGATGAAATATTGGTGAAATTTATATTTTAACTCGCTCCATATACCAGCTAGTTACCTTAGAGAGCAGTACCTCCCAGCCAAAACTTCCCTCCAACTTAAACCTTCACTCTTAAACCCTCCATGTTAAACTGTCTAATCACCTTTTTATCTCCTATCTTCAGCATCACTGTCTCCCATCGTTTCAACGATTGTTAAGATGGTCTCCTGAAAGTTAGAAACGCAGTTCAGGTAATAAAGATACATTATTTTATCTTTTAGTTATCCATTGGCTATTGTCCCCTGAGTACTGTTTTTAATTGTGTGTGTGTACTTTTCTGCCATTAAGGTACTCCCTTTCCCAGTTCACCGACTTCCCTGTAATCCCTGATGCCTCTCCATTGCCGCCACCAGCCTCTACCGAGGAACGGTATCAAATGTTGCTTGACAATCTGGGAAAACACTGACTACCCTAGTAACATTTTCTCCTGTCTTATTGTAATAACCTTAAAACTTAGAAAAAAATTATCAGACATGAATTTTCCTTTCTAATTAAGCCATGGTGTTCTCTTGCTACAAAGTTGGTCCTCTGCATGTGTTCCATTGTTCTCAAACTTATTACTTTCTCCAACACTTTACACGGAATACTTGACAGTGATTTGATCAGTAATTTTACGCCTCCTGTCTGTCCGCCCATTTAAAAAAAATGGAATTAGTTTTGTCTTTTTCTTGAATCCAAGAATTTTTTAATTGTATTTAACATTGATAGATTCTGCAGGTATTGTTTGTACCTATGCTACTGTGACGACTGATTTATCCAGTTTCTTCTGGCCACCTTTCATCTAGCCAGTTTGGTCTCTATGTTGGTTATTTTATAAAGGCTTAAGATATTCTACTGAGTATCTGCCGCATCTTGTCGTTTTCTGTGAGTATTCTCCATTGAAATTGAAATAAGTTTATTGAGGTAAAATACACACAAAGGGATGAGGTAGCTCAAGCTATTCTCACCCCGTTCAGTACATCGTGTTAATACATACATAGACGCACATCACAAACAATAAACATATTACCGAACATTCTGAGAGATAAACATATATATTTCCTCCTTTACACAAGTAGTATAGTATCAGACGTACTCATTGTCTCCTCCACGTGATCACACGGTCTCTTATTGTTGTTTTGATTCTAACATGACAATAAAACAGTTCTGGGTTGGCTCTTATCTTCTGCTGTAACGTTGTTTTGAAGTTGTCTCACACTTTCTTTCCCGACTCGGGTGTATTCGTTTCAGGCTCTCTACAATGCCTCACTACTGTCCCACGTTCCTAGTTCTATGTACTTTTTTTTGTGTGTTTTTTGTATTTTCTTCGGCTTCCCGACATTGCCTATTAAACAAGGGGTTTTACTTTGCTTTCTTCGACCACCATGTTCGTGAATGGGATGAAATGCTCCGTTGCATCTACACACTTCCTAGTAATAAATTCCATCATCTTATTTGTTGTCTTTCCTTCCAATTCTTTTTCCTATTGAACTTCACCTAAAAAGTCCCTCACCTTACTGTAGCCCAACACCTTTAATCTCTCATCATCCACAACGTGTTTCATGATTTATCCATCTCTTTCAGTTCCACTATGAACTGAAGCGCGATAATGCAGTAGCCAAGTCCATCTTTGCCAGCATCAACGTTGCCAGCATCCCTCTATCTCCTGGTTGCCAGGGCGACTCTGAGAATGGGGGGGACCTACTATGCGGCCCCCATACTGAAACGAAAGCTGTTTGGGCTGAGGACACCCCCTGCAAGTGACAGCCCACACAGCCGGAGCATATCAAGTCCTGGTGTCAGGCACCACACAGCTCCGGTTAAGCTGGATTTTACAAATGCCTTCAGACTAGTCACAACAGATGCTGCGCTCCGGGCTGCGGGAAGTCATTTCTCTTCCCTTGGTCCATTTACCCTGTCATACTACAGCGGCGCCCACTTTTCAACGAACCTGAAATGAATTCGTGTGATGTATTGAACCTGGTGGTCTCACCGCCACTACTGAAGTGGCAATATACCTCACTGCCACTATTTAAGGGGCACTATACTTCACTGCAACTGTAACAGGATCGTCTTATATCTCTATAAGAGTTTCAGACAGCTGGTGGGAGGCTTCGTGTGAGCAGATCTTTCCCTGGGTGTACCAGCTGGTCCTCCCCTAGGTGTACCAGCTGGTCCTCCCATGGATGTACCAGCTGGTCCTCCACTGGGTGTACCAGCTGGTCCTCCAGTGAGTGCCAACTGGACGATGCCACCACCGCGCGGGAGCGGGAAATCGTGCTTCACAAATTTACGAGTCTGCACCGTCAGTTTTGTTTTAATAGGGTCGGAGACCCTCTGGTCCTCGGGGTGGTGGTGGTGGGGGCTAAGGAACCAAAATAGTTTTCAAAGCGTTGGCCCCTATACAACGTTATCCTTCTATGATATGTTTACGGTAAAATATAAGCAATAGTGTTGTTACGACTGTGTGCTCCTCACTAGAGCCAGAGACTGGAGAGTTTACATGCTTCAAGTATCGTAGTAATGCCTCTCGATCTCTCTCAGGAGTACCGGGGAGATTCACTACATCTAACGGGCCATTATCCGGTATCATTTCTAACCAGTTGACGGTATTTAATACAATAGTAAGTGTTAAGTCAGAGGACAATATTAAAATGCATTCGAGAAGAAGCTAGAAGTGTTGGAGCTTATTGTTCCGGTTTCTTGAGTGTAAGAGTCTTCAGTAAGTTAACTAGAGATGCTTCTAGCAAAGGACTGGTCAAAAAAACGTTTAAATATCATAAAACAACAAATATTGGAGGCACAGCAGCGGCCAGGACTGTGACCATCGTGCGACCAAGAGAGCAACGCAGTAGGGGTCGCTTCTCTTGTGTTGGTTTGTAATTTATAATGAAGGAGGGAGCGTAATATGAGCAGGAGGGTGTCGCAGCTCATGTGGAGGGAATTTATAAATGAGACTGTGAGAAACAGGAGATAAGTGGGATGGGAAGAGAGTCAGGGAGAGAAATAACTATGTCAGCAAATTAAAAGTGGAAATGAGTATGCGGTCATTTGTCTGTGTCAGAGTACTTACCAGCCAGGCGTCTCCAAAGCTGTTCCTCTGAGGACGGTTGGTACTAAGATTGCATGCGAGTCCTCGTAAAAATCCTTATTCATGTATTCTTGCCAAAGTGATACAAACTGAGAGGGTAATAACGCCTACCTTGTCCCCGCGCCGCGGTCTCTCACCAGACCTCCTGGTCTGTGGTCTGGAGTGTTTTTGTAACTTGGTGTAAAGTACAAATACACTCTACAAAAAGCTTAAGCTACGCCAAGCATAAAAAACACATCTGAGTGTTTTTTGAGCTTGGTGTAAGACCAAAACATTCTACCTCACATCGTCTTGAGATCTAAGGTCTTTGTGAAGGTTGCATCGCATCGTGATAACGACCTTCCGAAGCTATTGTGGGTAGATCTGTAATGACTGGGTAAGTAAGTAATTATCACAAGAACGCACCAAACCGGGAAGGCTGTGTAGCACCACCGCCACAGGTAATGGATTGCCTTCTTTCATATTTGGTCTCGTGGAGCCTGCGCACAATGTGTTGGTATCTGTATGTGAAATAAATGGTTCACTGAAGGCTTCTAAATATAAACCTCATGGGACCCGAAGGCAAGACAATAAAACCTGTTTATATCAGTAAAGTGCCTGATAAATCAGGTGTGGTAAGTAACTGTGAGATATTAAAGGTGCACTTGGGATTAATTAGTGAAGGAGAGAGAGAGAGAGAGAGAGAGAGAGAGAGAGAGAGAGAGAGAGAGAGAGAGAGAGAGAGAGAGAGAGAGAGAGAGAGAGAGAGAGAGAGAGAGTGAGTGAGTTCCACTCCTCTAAGTGTGCTGGAGCCTACCTAACGATCGACCAGGTTAGCGAAGAAACGTCAACAATCGGAACCCCTGGTAGTTAAGACAGCATTAATTATACTACAGTTACAACGGAATGAATTTAAATGATTATCGTCGGCTTTTTCCGTATAGTGAGTCAATAGGTGACTTGGACCTGCCCCCCTTAAGCAGTTACAGTTTGGCCAGAAGGGCGACACCAAAGCTTTATATTTAGATTCGTTTCTAGAATCAATTATTGATCAAGATATACAATTAGAGCTTTAAGCGTCTGTTATCTTGAACCCATATTACAGGATGAGGCCTGATAAGAGGAAGGTATCGAGGAAGAATGGACTGCAACTTGGTCCATTACATCCCAGCACTTGTAGCTGCAGAACCCAGCACTTGTAGCTGCAGGTCCCAGCACTTGTAGCTGCAGATCCCAGCATTTGTAGCTGCAGATTCCAGCACTTGTAGCTGCAGATCCCAGCACTTGTAGCTGCAGATCCCAGCACTTGTAGCTGCAGATCCCAGCACTTGTAGCTGCAGATCCCAGCACTTGTAGCTGCAGATCCCAGCACTTGTAGCTGCAGATCCCAGCACTTGTAGCTGCAGATCCCAGCACTTGTAGCTGCAGATCCCAGCACTTGTAGCTGCAGATCTAGGCGTTTGTTGCGCTTAAACCTTAAGGTTTATTTAAGTTATGTGTAAAAGAGTGACTGGAGGGTCGTCTGATCACTTGCTATATAAAGTAAGATTACTCGGTACAAGGGTGATCGTATCTCACAAGGATCCAACAGTAAATGTTTAAAGAAGTTGAATGAGAGTGAACAGGTATAACAGAAAATCTATTTATTGCTGATACTATGATCTGATGAACCTTAGTGCCCTGTGGGTTGTATACAAGAAATGTTTGGTTAAGAACGTCCAGAGTTGAAAAGGTTTGTCGATAAAAAGGGGAGTAGCAAGTTCAGTTGATGATAAGGAAAAGTGAACTTCATGGATATAAAGAGAAGGAGAGCGCGGTGTCAATTAAGAAAAGTATGAGGAAGTAAAAGATTGGTGAAAATATTAAAAACAGGAAAAACACACACACACACACAGACTTCATTAGAATGTGTTGTGTGATGTGGAGAGGCGTAAGCAGATGTTGGTAATTGTCGGAGAGCGTAATGAGATGTTGGCAAATACAATAGTAATCAAGTGTTAGGTGCGTGTGGAGAAGTGTAAGCAGGTGAGGCCAGGTTTGAGGATGTGGAGAAGGGGGAGGGGGGGGGGGGGGAGGGGAATCTTGAGAGGTTATCTTGAGATGATTTCGGGGCTTTAGTGTCCCCGCGGCCCGGTCCTCGACCAGGCCTCCACCCACAGGAAGCAGCGCGGGACAGGTACCTATTTTTACTGCTAGGTAACAGGGGGCATAGGGTAAAAGAAACTGCCCATTGTTTCTCGCCGGCGCCCGGAATCGAACCCGGGACCACAGGATCACAAGCCCAGTGTGCTGTCCGCTCGGCCGACCGGCTCCCGGGAAGGGGGGATGGGGCCTATATACAACGCCTCGTAGCTTCAAGCAGAAGCGGACGGTTGTGAACAACAAAGAATAATGCCGCTGCACATAGTGACGTATTACCACCAGATGAATCCCCACCGGGTTAAACACGCTGGCCAGTGAGTTACCTCTAATCTGTTGGTATCGAGAGTTGTTCTACTATACTCAGAATAGATCATCAAAGATAATGTTACTTTGCCAATCGAAATTCGACATATTTCTTACCGCCAACATGACAGATCTGACAAGTCTTGCTGGGGGAGCTTACAGCGTGCCTGCCCTCAAGACACCTTCATTCGGACAATATTTTTATTTTGCTGAAAATATTTAATTATACTTACTGCTTGGAGACAAATTCGTTGGCCTGAATTGTTGTATTTGTTTTTTCTACGTTGATCTCCTGCAGTAACTTTCATTCCAAATATCTTGTGGTTATTTAGGTGTTCAAATCAGGGTTGTGATAAAGTTAACTCCAAATACAGATTATCCGGATGTACTGTACGTTGAAACTTGCGAGGCTTGGAAGGGGGGAAGGGGAGGGTGTCTAGGGGATTGGGAAGGGGGGGATATGGGGAGAGAGAAAGGGGGGGGGGAGGGAATAAGTTGTGCAAGCACATAGCTGGTAAAGATCGGTCAATCCGCAGGTGTGGGCGGAGGTTCGAGGCGCCAACTCCAGAAGCGTGATTGTGGGTGCGTGCTGGAATGGAGTGTTGCAAGAAGCAGGTGTGTGTGGATAGGTGGGATGACCTGACGTAAAATGGGGTCGACAGGTCTGTGAGCAGATGTGTATGTGTCATGGAATTATAGCAGGTGCTGCAGATCTGTAATAACAGAATCGACAGGTGTGGGACAGATGTGAAATGGAGTCGAATGGTGTAGGTTGATGTAAACTAGCATCAGAAGTTTAAGGTCAACACTTACAGATGTGAGCAGTCAGTTAAATAAACCAGCTGGAGGACAGCTGGAGCCAGGTGTGTGACAGCTGGAGCCAGGTGTGGGCCAGCTGGAGCCAGGTGTGGGCCAGCTGGAGCCAGGTGTGGGCCAGCTGGAGCCAGGTGTGGGCCAGCTGGAGCCAGGTGTGGGCCAGCTGGAGCCAGGTGTGGGCCAGCTGGAGCCAGGTGTGTGACAGCTGGAGCCAGGTGTGGGCCAGCTGGAGCCAGGTGTGGGCCAGCTGGAGCCAGGTGTGTGGCCAGCTAGAGCCAGGTGTGGGCCAGCTGGAGCCAGGTGTGGGCCAGCTGGAGCCAGGTGTGGGCCAGCTGGAGCCAGGTGTGGGCCAGCTGGAGCCAGGTGTGGGCCAGCTGGAGCCAGGTGTGTGACAGCTGGAGCCAGGTGTGGGCCAGCTGGAGCCAGGTGTGGGCCAGCTGGAGCCAGGTGTGGGCCAGCTGGAGCCAGGTGTGGGCCAGCTGGAGCCAGGTGTGGGCCAGCTGGAGCCAGGTGTGGGAAGCTAAAAAGTCAGGTGTGGTAGAGCCCTCCTTGACACGCATTACGACCCCCTGTGGGTGAAAGCTTCCTCGTAAATTCACTTCTTTATTGCCTGGCCTGAGGAGGCAGAGGGAGCTAGGGGACAGGCGGAAGGGCAAGGAGAAGAACGCGTGAATAGAAGGAACGGGAAGATATAGATAGAGAAGAAGAGATAAGGGGGGGGGGATGCACGAATAAATGCTTAGCGAAATTGAAAACGATTGGGCAGGGCCCCCCCCCCCCTCAAGAAAGAAGGATAGCAGATGCTTGTATTCAAGATAACAGCAGAGTGAGATCACGTGAGATAATATAATTCAAATAATGGAATGGGGAGAAATAGAACGAGAGAGAGAGAGAGAGAGAGAGAGAGAGAGAGAGAGAGAGAGAGAGAGAGAGAGAGAGAGAGAGAGAGAGAGAGAGAGAGAGAGAGAGAGAGAGAGAGAGAGAGAGAAGAGAGAGAGAGAAGAGAGAGAGAGAGAGAGAGAGAGAGAGAGAGAGAGAGAGAGAGAGAGAGAGAGAGAGAGAGAGAGAGAGAGAGAGAGAGAGAGAGAAGAGAGAGAAGAGAGAAGAGAGAGAGAGAGAGAGAGAGAGAGAGAGAGAGAGAGAGAGAGAGAGAGAGAGAGAGAGAGAGAGAGATGTGCAGAAACCGCCCGTATGGACTCGTTCTTGGTCATTACAACTAGCTACTCGACGAGACTTGCTACGCCCACCACAGTAGACTGTTGTACGGGGGGGGGGGGGGGGGAGGGGGGGGGGGAAGGGGAGGGGGGAAGGGGGTTGTGATGGAGGTAATTAGTGTCCGGGCGGCATCCTCAGCCCCCATAATTATGTGGCTGCGAGCCTCTGGGGTTCATCAGATTCTACCCGTTACTTGGGGCTCTGACTGAAGCTTGCGGATAATTAATGGAGTTCATCAGTCTTTGAATATGACTACTATAGGAGCCTTGAAGACTCTGGCCTTAATTACTAAACACTTCCAGTCCCGAGACGTAACTATTAGAGCTTTCCGAACTGTGGACATAACTGTAAAGTCTTCCAAACTGGTCAAAATCCTTCTTGGCCCCCCTCGACATCATTACTAGTGTTTCAGGCTTTGGATATAAGTGGTAGCTCTGCCAGGTGTAGGTGTAGATTACTGCTGACTCTTGCTAGCCGTCTTAAAGCTTTCCATTCCCTACTTTTCCTACCTAGATCCTACTAGGGTTTTCCCTGGAGCACGACTCATCAATTTGTATACAACCAGGTCCCCCAATTACTGGTCGAAGACTGCTTCCTCCTCCTCCTCCTCCTCTGCTGCTAACACCACTATCTGAGTAGAAAAATTTAATGAAGCAAGATATCACTTTTATCGCACCAGACACGGATCTATCACCTCTGGAAAACAATAAACAAGCCCCAATGTTATTTGGGAATTCTGATAAACAACCAGCGATAACGTAATTTAACACACACACACACACACACACACACACACACACACACACACACACATACACACACACACACACACACACGCATACACACACACACACACACACACACACACACACACACACACACAACACACACACACCCACACACACACACACACACACTCACACACACACACACACACACACATACACACACAGTTCCATGAAAGCAGTACAGCAGCAAGGGAGACGACCTCTCTCAACCCACGCCTCTAACCGCTCCCCTGC